GTATTAACGAAACGCCAAGCATTCTGTGATTTGCGTTAAAGATTTCACAAGCCAACTATCATGTTTCATTAAATTGTGTTATATTTTGTTACGATAAATTTTTTATAAAAAATATTAAGTGATGGATAATATATATAAACCTCTATTATATTTATTGTTTTCTCAACATCCTTTTTACGAGTGTATAAACCTATAACAGAGCCGAGCGAAATAAAGAATGGAATAAAGGATAAAACCAAAAGCCTATAAAGGTTTTTCAGAGAAAAAAGATTGTTAGATCAATTTATATATCATGCAGAGTGGTTGCTGGCCAAAATACATACAGAATGTCTTGCGGATCACGTTTTCCAGATTCTTGACGAGGTCCAGTTAAAGCTGCTACAACAGTCCAAATAAACATTATCGCAAATATAAATGGAACCGATACCAATATTCCCCATATTAAAGGCTGTAAATATAAAAAGGATTAGAATTATTACAAATTTTTAACCACTATTTCAATCGAGTAATTAACACATGCCTGAGCAAATGAACGTAGAAAATATATCCAAATGGCACCTATACAGATTGAGAACAATATGGAGATAAAAAGTTGCCCTATATAATAATGCATCAAAATAATTTATAATTAATTAGTATATGATAATTAACTTCTAGATCGAAAAAAAAAACATACATGCACTGTAATAAATAGCGGTGAATACGGTTCCACGGGTGTAATCTCTTGACGGAGAAGACTGTTTAAAATTTAAATTCATTATTCATCAGAAAAAAAAAAAAAGAACAAAACGATCGAGAAAAGAATTATAACTCACGCTAGTTGTAAATAATAAAAATAGGCCTATTAACGACAATGTCGCTAATCCGACAACAAATAAAGCCGCAAATGCCGGATCTCTGAATTTACGATGTGAAAGACCTGATAATAGCGGGGGTGGTATCTAATGCGAGAACGAATTGTTACAATTTATAAAAAAATGATCGCAATTGAAATATTTGTCAAAAAATTTACCGAAGATGATGGAAGTAGTCCTTCCGACAGTGTATCGCTAGATATTCTAGTAGTGGGCGAAGGAGGGACGTTGCGATAGATCGCTGCCGCGGCCTGTAGAATGTAAGTTTATAGATAATCAAATCAATGCGGATTTTGATTTATTTCTAACCTGTGTATTTCGATTATCCGAGAATGGATTTTCTAAGAAAGCTGCTCCAGGAACAGGATCGGATCCCAGATGTTCGTCGTCATCATCATATTGATTATAATTTCGCACTTGTGAAGGTTGCAAAGAGATGGATTCACGAATTTCAGCATCCGTTAATAGATTAGGGACAGAATAAAAAAGAGATGCACCAGGTTCTTGTGATGAATCTGAAGAAACAGACCCTCGAGGCCGATTCCACAAATCCTTTGTATATTGAGAAAACATGGAAAAACGGGGAAAGCATTAGCATGTACAAAGTTACGTATATAAATACAT